TGGACGATTCTTTGCTGATGCAATATTGGCTGTGATGAATATTTTCTGAGCTGCCGTTATTGCCACACCGTAGGACCTTAAAAAGGCATTCAGGTGTGTTTGGGCTGGATTGGTGGGGTTCTTGCGCCACACGCACTCTAACCTCCTCTTCTTTCGCTTCATTGCTGCCAGCTCCTCAGTGAACCAAGAGGCTGGTTTACCTCGGTTACTCGAGAGGGGGCGTTCCGGAGCGATAGTGTCAATTGCCCTAGTCAACTCATTATTCCAACGAGAGACCAGAGCATCGACAGTATCACTGGCCAAGGAGGTGGAAAGATCCCCAAGAGCCATCAGGAATCCATTTGGATCCATAAGTCTCCTGGGACGGACCATTCTAATGGGTCCACCACCCCTGCGGAGGTTAGGAGGCCCAGTTAGTCTAAAACTGATCAGGTGGTGATCGGTCCATGGCAATGGAGCGATGGTCGGCTCCTCCATCCCGTCACCTTCATCCCATCCCTGGACAAAGACCAAATCCAAGGTGTGCCCGGCACTATGGGTGGGACCAGATATTAGCTGGGACAGGCCCATGGTTGCCATGGCGACCATGAAGTCCTGAGCCGCACCAGAAAGAGAGGCCTCGGCATGGACGTTGAAATCTCCCAAGACCAGAAGCCGTTGGAAGCTCAACGCCATGTCCGAGACCACTCCCGCTAGCTCAGGTAAGGAGACTGTAGTGCAGCGGGGTGGTCAGTACACTAACAGAATCCCTATCCTGTCCCGGTCACCTATCCTAAAGCCGGCACATTCAAAGGAAGATGATTGTGGGATGGGGCACCTGATCAGGGTGATAAAATCCTTATAGACCACTGCGACTCCGCCTCCCCGCCCTCCAAGCCTTGGTTGGTGCTGAACAGTAGCCTGGTGGACAGAGTTGGGAGAGATTAACCCCTCCCCCCTCGTCCAGCCAGGTTTCTGTTATACAAGCCAGGTCGGCTCGTTCTTCTTGAATTAGATCTTGAATAATGGAAGTTTTTCCATTCACCGACCTGGCATTGAGCAGCACCACCTTTAGCTTGGAGGGGCCACCATCCTGGCACCTCAGTTGTATTTTGTCAGGAGAAGATTTTGGAATTGCCAATCTGTTTTTATTAATTTCGGGCCGAATAGTAGTGGTAATTTTTGGAGTTGCCAATGTCCTATTGAAAATTTTGGGCCGAATTTGCTTTTGTCTTTGATTTCTAACGTCTTTAGAGGTTGCCAATTTGTCATTGTAAATTTTGGGCCAAAATCGATGTTTTGTTCTCCCTTTCCCGTATCTCCCTCTACCAGTCACCACCTCTATGGTGGCCACCCCACCCGTAGCCCCACACCCCCCGGGAACGCTCCCTCCATTTCCAGTAGTTGTGATCTCAATACTCGACGCATGCTTATAGTTATGGTTATCTGTCTCTGGGTTCCAATATTCCCACCCCTTAGTGCTACCTATTCCTTCCAGTATGGCAAAGGCTGTAAAGTGCACTTGTGCTGAGGTTATTATAAAGTGCACTTGTGCTGGAGGTTGGAGGAATATCAATAGCAGCAAGGGTAAAGTAAACATTAACATAGAGGTAATATACTGATGTTACTAGTATATGTAGTTAACTTCAGATGATGGTGTGGGAACCCAGAGTTCGAAACATAAAGTGCAATAGTTGTAGCTACTTGATCTGATACTTTGGACCACTTGGTAATGGTATGGGTTCTGGCAGGGGATCTAAAGTGCTTAGATAAAAGTGATTTCGTGCTGAGATAGTTCTATAGTGCAAAATAATGCAAAAAAATTGTCTTCTATAAGTAAATTCACTTTCAAACCATTCAACAAGACAGACAAATTGCACCAAAGAACCCGGCTCCTTGGGCCCGTGGAGCAAACAAGCCGGCACCCAAGGCCAGGCCCCGGTTCTTCTTGACCGTCTTGTGCGGAGATGACACAAAGTGCAGTAGTGAAGACAATAGGTGCAGTTCTTGCTAGTTAGCAGCACAAATTGCAGGTTACCCGATGTGTGAAGGATGTTATTTACACTTATTATCTTGGTCACAGAGGGCAGTGTGAAGGAATGAGTGTCCAGTTCTTTAGCATAGAGCTCTGAGGATTGTACTAAAAATCACTGAGTCACGAGCGGGCAGAGCTTCTGGTTTTACGTTTAGGCTGGAAGGATTCAGGACCCCTGTGGCAGCAGCAGTCTGAGACTAGGCCAAGGCAGGTGCAACACAGCTTTATAGTCACTCCCTCCTTGGAGGATTGCTGAGTCGCACCCAGTTGGAAAGGGCCTGGGGCTTCTCCTACTCACAAGTAGTCCAGGGCAGCCAAGCTGGATGGAAGGATTCAGGACCCCTGTGGCAGGAGCAGTCTGAGACTAGGCCAAGGCAGGTGCAACACAGCTTTATAGTCACTCCCTCCTTGGAGGATTGCTGAGTCACACCCAGTTGGAAAGGGCCTGGGGCTTCTCCTACTCACAAGTAGTCCAGGGAACAGCCAAGCTGGATGGAAGGATTCAGGACCCCTGTGGCAGCAGCAGTCTGAGACTAGGCCAAGGCAGGTGCAACACAGCTTTATAGTCACTCCCTCCTTGGAGGATTGCTGAGTCACACCCAGTTGGAAAGGGCCTGGGGCTTCTCCTACTCACAAGTAGTCCAGGGAACAGCCAAGCTGGATGGAAGGATTCAGGACCCCTGTGGCAGGAGCAGTCTGAGACTAGGCCAAGGCAGGTGCAACACAGCTTTATAGTCACTCCCTCCTTGGAGGATTGCTGAGTCGCACCCAGTTGGAAAGGGCCTGGGGCTTCTCCTACTCACAAGTAGTCCAGGGAACAGCCAAGCTGGATGGAAGGATTCAGGACCCCTGTGGCAGCAGCAGTCTGAGACTAGGCCAAGGCAGGTGCAACACAGCTTTATAGTCACTCCCTCCTTGGAGGATTGCTGAGTCACACCCAGTTGGAAAGGGCCTGGGGCTTCTCCTACTCACAAGTAGTCCAGGGAACAGCCAAGCTGGATGGAAGGATTCAGGACCCCTGTGGCAGCAGCAGTCTGAGACTAGGCCAAGGCAGGTGCAACACAGCTTTATAGTCACTCCCTCCTTGGAGGATTGCTGAGTCACACCCAGTTGGAAAGGGCCTGGGGCTTCTCCTACTCACAAGTAGTCCAGGGAACAGCCAAGCTGGATGGAAGGATTCAGGACCCCTGTGGCAGGAGCAGTCTGAGACTAGGCCAAGGCAGGTGCAACACAGCTTTATAGTCACTCCCTCCTTGGAGGATTGCTGAGTCACACCCAGTTGGAAAGGGCCTGGGGCTTCTCCTACTCACAAGTAGTCCAGGGAACAGCCAAGCTGGATGGAAGGATTCAGGACCCCTGTGGAGCAGCAGCAGTCTGAGACTAGGCCAAGGCAGGTGCAACACAGCTTTATAGTCACTCCCTCCTTGGAGGATTGCTGAGTCGCACCCAGTTGGAAAGGGCCTGGGGCTTCTCCTACTCACAAGTAGTCCAGGGAACAGCCAAGCTGGATGGAAGGATTCAGGACCCCTGTGGTAGCAGCAGCAGCAGTCTGAGACTAGGCCAAGGCAAGTGCAACACAGCTTTATAGTCACTCCCTCCTTGGAGGATTGCTGAGTCACACCCAGTTGGAAAGGGCCTGGGGCTTCTCCTACTCACAAGTAGTCCAGGGAACAGCCAAGCTGGATGGAAGGATTCAGGACCCCTGTGGCAGCAGCAGTCTGAGACTAGGCCAAGGCAGGTGCAACACAGCTTTATAGTCACTCCCTCCTTGGAGGATTGCTGAGTCGCACCCAGTTGGAAAGGGCCTGGGTCTTCTCCTACTCACAAGTAGTCCAGGGCAGCCAAGCTGGATGGAAGGATTCAGGACCCCTGTGGCAGGAGCAGTCTGAGACTAGGCCAAGGCAGGTGCAACACAGCTTTATAGTCACTCCCTCCTTGGAGGATTGCTGAGTCGCACCCAGTTGGAAAGGGCCTGGGGCTTCTCCTACTCACAAGTAGTCCAGGGCAGCCAAGCTGGATGGAAGGATTCAGGACCCCTGTGGCAGCAGCAGCAGCAGTCTGAGACTAGGCCAAGGCAGGTGCAACACAGCTTTATAGTCACTCCCTCCTTGGAGGATTGCTGAGTCGCACCCAGTTGGAAAGGGCCTGGGTCTTCTCCTACTCACAAGTAGTCCAGGGCAGCCAAGCTGGATGGAAGGATTCAGGACCCCTGTGGCAGGAGCAGTCTGAGACTAGGCCAAGGCAGGTGCAACACAGCTTTATAGTCACTCCCTCCTTGGAGGATTGCTGAGTCGCACCCAGTTGGAAAGGGCCTGGGGCTTCTCCTACTCACAAGTAGTCCAGGGCAGCCAAGCTGGATGGAAGGATTCAGGACCCCTGTGGCAGCAGCAGCAGCAGTCTGAGACTAGGCCAAGGCAGGTGCAACACAGCTTTATAGTCACTCCCTCCTTGGAGGATTGCTGAGTCACACCCAGTTGGAAAGGGCCTGGGGCTTCTCCTACTCACAAGTAGTCCAGGGAACAGCCAAGCTGGATGGAAGGATTCAGGACCCCTGTGGCAGCAGCAGTCTGAGACTAGGCCAAGGCAGGTGCAACACAGCTTTATAGTCACTCCCTCCTTGGAGGATTGCTGAGTCACACCCAGTTGGAAAGGGCCTGGGGCTTCTCCTACTCACAAGTAGTCCAGGGAACAGCCAAGCTGGATGGAAGGATTCAGGACCCCTGTGGCAGCAGCAGCAGCAGTCTGAGACTAGGCCAAGGCAGGTGCAACACAGCTTTATAGTCACTCCCTCCTTGGAGGATTGCTGAGTCACACCCAGTTGGAAAGGGCCTGGGGCTTCTCCTACTCACAAGTAGTCCAGGGAACAGCCAAGCTGGATGGAAGGATTCAGGACCCCTGTGGCAGCAGGAGCAGCAGTCGGAGACTGTTTTCAAGTCTAAACCAGCATCTCATGTATGACTTACAGCCATATTTTCTTTCATTCCAGGTCTCTGAGGACTCAGGAGGAGTTGTAAAAAGAAATCGACAAAGAAAAATCCTGCTCCTTGGTGTTCTGCTGTTGCTAGTGGTCCTTGGCCTTGTGCTACTCATTGTCTTCACAACTCTTACATGTAACCTAGGTGCTAGAACAATCTTTTTTTATGACTTATCCTCTGTTTCAGCCACACAGTAGCAGTGGGAGGGACCACGGCTTCCCTTCCTTCATTTTCACACACTTTCTAGCCACCCAAATGGCAGAGAGAGTAAAAGAAACTTGAGAAGTACTGACCATGAAAGCCATGGATTTATCAGTTGGAACAATAGGAGAATTTATGGACAAAAAGTTTGACGTTCATAAGACATACGCACATCATTTGCAGCCCTTGTTCCTCCACACAGATCAAGTAGGGAAGATATTATCTCTGACTGGAGTGTTCCCTTTCTCACTTCTATACCAAATCAAATATATAATATTCTGGATTAGCAAATAATCCAAAAGATAATGTCTTAGATACCCTTTGATAGGATACTTTATGCTTCATATCTGTTTTAGAGAGCCCAATTACTTTTAACATCAGAAAGTTCACAGAATTATACATATGTCTTATGAACTTCAGACTTTTTGTCCACAACTTCTCTGATTGTTCCAACTGATAAGTCCATGACTTTCATAGTCTGTGCTACTCAAGTTTCTTTTATTCTCTCTGCCATTTGGGTGACTAGAAAGTCAAGGTAGATTAAAAATTCAAATGCAGACCTGCAATCTGGCTACTGTCCCATTCAGAGCAGGGCTCCACTTTGATGAGGATGCATTCACAGACATCAAAAACACAATGACAGAAAAGAAGATATCTTTGTCTTTTGTTCTAAAGACAATACAGCCTTGAGAACTTGATTATCTTGTTGTTCAGCTATCTTTCTTTTGGGTCATCAGTGTTGACTTTAGAGAACCAATGACAAAATAAACATTCAGGTCAATCCTTTCATCTTTTTAGAGGCTTCTCTTGCCCCAAATCCTTCTGAGAACACTTTTTCTCATTACAAGCTAAAAAAAAAAAAAAAGCTCAGCTCATCAAACCATTTCTGTGGGATAGTCCTCCAAGAAAAAGTAGGCACAATTTTTGACTCTTCTACTTAGTATAGGAGGAATGCATCTGGGCATTCTTCTATAGACATGTGGTCTTGAGAACCAAATGGGATACATAATAGAGATCTTCCAACTTCAGAAACATTGCTTTCTGCAGTTTCCTGCATAAAAGTTCATCTCAAAGAATAACTTAGTACCACAGACCATCCACCTCACATAGAAGTGATATAATCTGTCCTTCCACTGGACATTTTGTCCAAAGTGTAGTAAATGTTCTTCACCATGACCAAAAAGGCCACAGAGCTTGGCTAGACTCAAATTTAAAACCCATAAATACCTTAATCAAAAACAGAAAATTATGCAAAGTGAGTTTGTAGACTATTTAAGAACAGCTACATCTAGGGGACTTTATGGGACTTTATGGTTTTGATCAATCCTGCATGAGCTTATTTGCATCTCCTCATTCCTACTTCATCCTGTTTTGTAGGTCTGTTTTTGCTACCTTTCTATCTACTACACTTCAAAGGATTGGACTAGATAGTCCTTGTGTTCCCCTCCAACTCTAGCAAATGTGTCCAGTGCTGTCCAGATCATCCTGTATTTGAGGAACCAAGGTTCATAGTCAATGAAATGAAAAATCCACTGTGCCATGCTAGACATCTGGTTCATCTGACAGGAGACCTTAATCTCTTCTTTTCCAAAGGGAGCCCTCAAATGTGTGCAAAATGTTTCCTTCATACCAGCTCTGTAGACCTGATGTCATTAGCCCATCTTTTGGGACTGAGAATATGAACACAGGTTCATATGAGCTGGATTCCTTTCCAGATCTCTGAAGTGGCTTTTAATACCCTTTAATGCATAGGTTGGAGATTGAAAATCATTTTAGGGCCACTCAGATATAGGATTTGTGGAGTTCTGTTGCCACTTCTCCCTTCAAACATCTTCCTAAGGTCATTGTCACCACCAGTGCCTGCTTTTCTGAATGGGAGCATTGACAGGGCCACTTGTCTCAAGGAAACGAGATGCAACTGAACAATCTCATAGCATAGATTTGTTAGAACTTTGGATAATAATAATAATTATCATCATCATCATCCCCTTTTCTCTTGATCGAGACCCGAATTGGCTCACTACTTTAAAAAGCTATAGTTAAAATAAATAAAAGATCAATATTAAAATAGTATTAAAATTGCTACAATTATTAAAACAATTTAGTTAAAATAGAATTACAATACATTTTTAAAAGCTGTTAAAACTAATTCACTAAAATAAAACTACCTCCCTGACCTGTTCTTTAAATGTTTACTGTTTTAAAAACCTGCCTGAATCAAAAAGTGTTTGATTCTACCAGAAGGACTACAAATACTGGTCCTCTCTCAGGTCTCCACCAGCCGTTCCTGCAATGGTGGTGGGACTGAAAGTAGGGCCTTTCCTGATGATTTCAGACCCAAGGCCAGTTCCTACAATGAGATACAATCTGTCAAATACACTGGACCTAAGTAATATTGATCAACTTTAGTTTGCTAGTTGCTACAGTTCCAGAATATGCTTAAGGGCTATCATTCATTTGTCCACGTGGACAACAATGTGGTCAAATTGGGTTGAGAAACTCAGGATACAGGAGAATGGAGCTTGAATACAGCAGTCTTTTGCCAGTTGAAATCTCATTCCAGCAAACTTCAGTTAGATATTTTCACATGATGCATAGGCACAGACACACAAAACCATATAAGGACTTTCTGCTATAAAGACTCAAGATGCTCATTTGTTTCCTTGCCTTCCAAGCCACTCTTCAACTCTCCTGAGAATGCTGAAGAAAATCAAACAGGAAAAATTATACTATTAGCTCCACACTAGATATAAAGGTCTTGGTTTTCCCAGATACTATCTGTTGGTGTTCAGAAACCATGGTTTCTCTTTCTGATTCCTTACCTGTTACCTCAAGATCCCATTCACGGCACAGATCCAAACTGTTTCCATCTGATGAATGGTAGGCTTACCTAAAAATAGGTTATTTTGAAAGTGATGCAAGCACCTTACTGTAATGTCTGTAGCTCTACTATCAGAATTTACAAAACTGCGTGGAAGGTAACAGCTCACCTGGCTTGGTCAGCTGCAATTTCAGCTGACTATCCCATTAACTTACCTAAAAGTGACTGGTTGGGCAACGACCAATGAGCTTACTGTATTGGTTTATTAAATAGCCCATCTTTTTCTTAACTTAGGGCCCAAGTTGACTTACAATAAACTAAAATGAAGTACTCTAAATTGTATAGATATGCCTCTTCAAAAGTGGCATTTGAAAGGGCTTTGTATCAAATCATTTATTTCGGTCATAGACCACCACAGAAAATAAAAGTCACAGTTTCATACGAACTTGGTGCTTTTAGTACATTTAAAATGTAAATATAAATGATGAAGCACAATAGGTGTGAGGGAGTGGAAGGGGAAACAGGGTAATATTGGTATAATGGTATAGTACAATATAATGGTATAGTGCAATATAGTAATATATAATGCTGATATTGTACTATGCTAATAATATAATATATTGTATGTATATATATCTTGTAAGCCTCTCTGAGTCCCCTTCGGGGTAAGAAGGGCGGCATATAAATGTCATAAATAAATAAATAAAACATACAATGCACAGGTCTATCAGCAATTATAGAATCAAGGAAGAAGATTATTGGATACAGAGTTAACTTTTGGGATATTTCATGTCATCTTTTTGTAAATATATTTTTGGGAAATATTTTATGTCACCTTTTTGTAAATGAGTCTAGGGAGAGCAACAAAGCATCTAGTCTAAAAACTTAGAAAACAGAAAGAATTATCCATACCTAGATGTCTCCTTTTACACAAACAGGAATGGATCTTCAGAATAAGTCCCAATGCACTCTTATTTCTGTCTAATTGTAAGCAGTCTACTTATTGTTCATCACTGTTTTCTTTTTACATTTTCCTAGAAACCTGCAACACAACAACATGTCTTCTGCTTCTGGCAAGGTTTCTGAAGGCCCATAATCATAGCATCGATCCTTGTGAAGATTTCTTCAGTTATACCTGTGGTAACTGGAATGCCAACTATACACAAAGGATGAACATGCCACTGGTGAATGTCTTTGATGTACTCTTGGAAGAAAACCAGCTCATTATGAAGAGGCTCTTAGGTGAGACAGATGGGTTACTACTATAACCAGAGTCCCTTGCAGGTCTTTCCTTCTGACATTTGGTAAGAGAAAGTAACCAACATTGTGATCATGAAATTGATATCATTTGTCACCAGAACTAATATGCACCCATTGGCACCAATAATATTCACATCATTCTTAAGAAGGTCTGCATGCATTCAGAGTTTACTATGTTTCTTTATTAATTTTAACACAAATGCTCTAGTACAAACATTCTAATGAACCCACAAGGCATTCAACAATCAAAAAGGAAGAGAAAAAGAGAGTAAACAGAAACAAGAAGAGAAATAATGATACAGATCTAGATAGGTGACTAAAAGCTAAAACTTAATTAAACTAACACTACTACAACACTGTGCCATGGCATCAAACCCAAAATAACCAAACATTATGGACAACAAACAAGAACTGTGGCTCACACACACACACACACACACCAATCCAAACTGTAATGAAAAACTAAGGACAAAATAATAATAATAATAATAATAATAATAATAATAATAATAATATTCTAACATTACAGATCCAACTGAATTGAATTGATTAGAATTGTCAGTAACTATAAACACAGATTACTACATTATGGGATTTCTTATTGCTCAGAAAGTCCACAGTTTGAAATTGTACAAAAAAAATGCAGTTATTTTATCTTTTAAGATAGGTTTTAGTTTGGCAATTTGAACAAGCACGGCACTCTTAACAACTCAATCTTTTATCACTGGGGTTTCTGTCCAATGATTGGTATTTCCGTCTGGGCAATGTTTCTGCAGCTGTTACTATATATCAACGTAGTTTTCCATATTTATGATTTAATTCCTTATCAATAATAACCAACGAAACATCTCTGCAAGAAACGCCTTTGTGATTTTTAAAATTTTATCTCTAGCAATGCTGGTGGCAAAATATCTCTAAAAGTATCAATATTCATCACAGCAGGTTCAAGATGAATGGACAGTGGGGAAGGACACTTTGAGCAAACTATCTAGTCGTCTTGCTACTGCCTGCTCTAAGGCATTCTTGAATTTTCAGTGATAAGCATTGCTGTACTTCCAACAGAACTAACATGTAAATCTTAACTCAATAGCCTTTCACGTTCTTGTAAGTCCACCACCTATAAAAACATACATTCAAAGTTTAAAGATAAACCTTGAGCAGAACGTGAAGTCTATTTTACAGTTTAATTTATGATCTTTTGATATATTGGAGCTGTCTTCTGAATGGACCTTCAAAGGAGAAAAGGTTTAAGGCATAAGTAACTACATATGCTCATATCAGTCCTTTTAAATCCTTCTTTCTTACCACCTGGTCTCTTCCTCTGATGTCTTCCCTGCTGATGCAGCAAGTTCCTTGGTTTATGTAGAACCATCTTGTGGGTGGTGGTGTTCTACAGAGTATCAGACAAGTTGCTGATTGGACACATAAAATCAATTACAGTTGAATTATTTCTGCTTGTGCCCACTTACTGGAATGCAATCTCTCTTACAAAGTTGGAAGAAAACCTGTTGCTGATCTTCAGAGCGCTGATGAAAATTGCTCCATGACCAGAGAAGACTTCTATTATTAGGGAGATGTTCAAAGAAAGCTCTTCCTTTGTTTTAAACTCTTAAAAAGCAATGCCAATGGCATGGCGGATTTCAGCTCTGCTGTGTTTTGAAAATATAGCCTCTAGTGCCCCCAGGAATTATTCTAGATGGAAGTACCCCCTTCTTCACATAGCATCATTTACAGGTACAGCTGGTGGTAGATAGTCAGTTTTTGGCATCTGTATCATCTTGTGCCAAAACACATGTCCATATGGATAGACCCTTAAGCAATTTTACAGATTTTTAATTAAGAAAATATTTGGCCACAATACCAGTTGAACTCAATATCCCTCCATCTAAGCGCTTGCTCTTATTCCAGATTTCAAGACAGTGTTTACCACCTTGTTTACCAAAATGTATTTATTTATTTACCTATTTTCTCTACCCCTAGGGAGACTCAAAGCTGTTCACAACAAAGTAAATGGCTTCACAAAATATAAAACAACACACATTTAAAATAGCATATAATGATAGATTGACATCAGTGAACTATAAAACATCAAACATAAATAACATAACATAAAACATTGGACATTGCACCAATCCTGAAATCTTGTCTGCTTCATCTCACTCTCTGAAGTCACATTTTGAGTAATTTCCTGAATGTCAGGAGGGAGGGGGCTGATGTGATCCCGCTGGGGAAGGAGTTCCACAGCCAAGATGCCACCACGAAGGAGGCCCTGTCTCTCATCCCCACCAGTCACACCTGTGAAGGTGGTGGGACTGAGAGCAGGACCCCCTCAGCCAATCTTAATACTCTGTCTCATAGAGGGAGATACATTTGGATAGGTAAGCTGGACCAGAACCATCCAGAAGAACCCTTCAATTAAGCTTGAAATAAAATAAAATAAATGGGCAGAAGTCTACAGTAAAAGAATTGTCTAGTTAGTACTAATATCCATTTGAAATTCAGACACTAACCTTTTGGATTCCTGATCACATCAGAATACTTCAGTGATAAGCTGTCACTGGAGGAATATCCATTGCTAGGACTGGATTCTTGGCTTAGCCACTCTTTCCCTTGCCTTCTCCCTTCCTTTTGTTAGCAGTGTTTATCCCTTCTTGCCTCTGCCTTGGATGTATCATTTAGCCCCAGATTTCTAGGTAGTCATCCCTCTTTTTAGCTCTATGTGTGTGCAACCCATTATTTCTTCTTATTCCTGTTGATCAGCATCACAAGCATTCTTCTGCTTTTCTGTGCTATAATGTAAGACTTCCTCACATCTTTATTGTCAGACCGTAGCTTACTTTGTAACTTCATTTCAGTATATTTTACTCTGGAATTATAATTATAGAATTTGAAGAGACCATAAAGGCCGCCCAGTCCAACTCCATTCTGCTGAGCAGGAATACACAATAAAAGCTCTCCCAAAAATATGGCCATCCAGTCTCTGCCTTAAAACCCCCCAGAGAAGGTGACTTCTTCACACTCCCAGGCAGAATACAGTGGAATCTCAACTTAAGAGCATCTTGACTTAAGAGTGTTTTCAATGAAGAGTTGTCTCTCAGCCCATATTTTGCTTTGACATATGAACAGCATTTTGATTTAAGTGCCCGAGAGAGCACTAGAGTGAGAGTACAGGGCTTTAAGGCTTCAAGGGAGCAGCCTCTGTGCCTTGTGCTCTTGTCCATTTTGGGAGATTGCTGTGCGTTTTGCTCTTGTCCACTTTGAGAACTTTGGGTTATTTGATTTTGTGTGGTTTTTATTCCTGGTATGTTTGGCTTCATGAAGAGAGAGAGGAGGGGAGAGCAAGAGAGGGAGGGAGGCTGGAATTAGTACAGTATGTAGAAAATGATGTGTCTGCCTCTTCACTTTGTGCTTCCTTGTCACAACTTTGTGCTTCTACCATTTTAAAGTTGATCTTTCTTTTTTATTATTCCATGTGAACATGCATTTAGACATTATTTGTTATTTATAAAGTACATTTTCTTATTTAAAAACATGCCCTTCTCCCAAATGGATGGGGGGCAGAACAGATTAATAGCATTTCAATGCATTTCAATAGGAATGAACCTGTCACTTTTGTCTTGCTGTTACATTGACCAACACACATTTTTCCCTTATATAACAACAACAACAACAACTTTATTTTTATACCCTGCCACCATCTCCCCGAGGGGCAAGCCCAACAATTACAGATAAAAACAAAGACACAGTTAAAAACACTCAATAAAACAATAAACCATTGCACAGTCAAAACAGTCATAAAACAGCATCATAAAACAATAGGCTGAGATTAAGGTCGTAATTGAGCTCAGGCTCAATGAGTGCAGATAAATCCTAATGGAGCCAAAGGAAAGTGCGGAGGCTGAGTGAACATGGGCTAGGGACAACCGTTGGCAAAAGTGTTGAGGAAGCCAATAAAAGGGCCGAAATAAAATGCAAAACTTAAAATAGGGACGGGATGGATTTATGGTGAACTGCCTAATCAAAGACACAATGGAACATCCAGATTTTCTTCCTTGCCTTGCCACAACTTTGTGCTTCTACCATTTTAAAGTTTATCTTTCTTTTTTATTCTTCTACGCGAATGTGCGTTTATACATTATTTGCCATTTATACAGTACATTTTCTTATTTAAAAACATGTAACAAAATAATTGGGGGATTTTGGGGGGGGCGGAATGGATTAACAGCATTTCAATGGGAAAATTCACTTTGAGATCAGAGTTATTTGAGTTAAGAGTTCAGTCATGGAACAAATTAAACTCTTAACTCAAGATATCACTGTATTCCACTGTTAAACTCAGAGTTGCCAGATATTGAAGGTGAAAATAAGGGACATTCTAGGAAGGGAGGGCCCAGAGCTCCTCTCTGCCCTTGTGGTGAAGAAGGCAACGCTAGGGACCTCCAGCCCCATGAAAATTTGGAGTACCACCAGGTTTGGGTGGCAGAAGTGGTTCAGGAAGTGGGCCACATTGATGTAGTGAAGCTCATCCAAGCAGCACTTGAGCCCTGCCTCCACCACCTCCGATTCTGAGGAGAAGGGGGAGAGACTGGCTGGGCCTGGATGCTCAAATCTGTGTAGTGAAAATACGGAACACTTGATGTTCTGGGAAAGAATGTAACAGAGCATTTTATTCAAATACGGGACTGTTCCTTAAAATCCGGGATGCCTGGCAACTCTGGCTGAACTGCATTTAACATCAGAAACGTCTTCCTAATGTTTAAATGGAATCTCTTTTCCTGTAGTTTGAACATTAGTACCCCCTGTCATCCTTTAATTTACCTACATCTAGGAATGTTCTCCTAGTCCTTGGCAATCCCCTAAGTGAAACTTTAGTCCACCAAAACAAATTTGGACTGCAAGCAGTTATGTCTTCCAGATGCTCAATTTTTCTAAGCCTGGTATTAGCATACAAAATCAATGCGAAGGCTATTGTTCCCACCAATGCAATACAGTAAAAATTATAAATTATTATGCCAAAGATATTTTTCAGTTTTGGTGAAAACTAAAAAGTTTTGATGTGATTGCTAGTAGGATGATGCTACATTCCAAAAATAAATTAATCTTGCAAAAATAAGAAGTTTATAATATTGAGTAATAATATGAGAATCAGGCCTTCATTGTGTTTTCACAAAAGCAGGTATGTTGTCATTTCTGGCAGAGTTTCTAGGTGATATAGATTTTTGGAATATGACTCAATCCAAACAGGGAGACATTTACATGCCAATGGACATTGTGATGCTCACCTGGTCTTTTTTTTAAACATCTGTACATATGACTAGCACTGGATCAGACCCTCAATCCAGTATTAGATCTGTGTCAGATTGAAAGAGCTGAGCCTTCAACCAGCTTTTGAGTATTTCACTATCTGTTTTATTTTGCACCATCTCAAAGTAAATTTGTTCTGTGATGTAGATTGTTTGGTAACCTTTCAACCATTTTGTATGTTCCTTCTCTTTCTCAGAAGAACCACAGCTGGAGGTTAAAAGCTCAGCAGAGGAGAAAGCTGTACGGTTTTATACTTCTTGCATGGATACAGAACAGATTGAAGCTCGAGGTGCTCAACCTTTGAAGCAGATTGTAAACGAGGTGATCACTCACTATATACTTCTCTCTCGCTCTCTCTCACGTGCACACACACTATTTATTATTGTTATTACATTTATTCTTTTATTCTATTAATGCTGTTATTATTACATTTCCATATTCTATTATTATTATTAGTAGTAGTATTAGTAGTATTACATTTATTATTTTATTCTCTTTATTATTATTGGAAGGATCCGTACACACATTTACATTGAAGAAGGTAGAATAACAGTTTAATCAGAGCTGGACAGTCTTATCTTAAATTGCAGTTTTGTGTAATATTCAAAAACATTTAACCTGCTGATAGAATCATAGAATCATAGAGTTGGAAGAGACCTTATGGGCCATCCAGTCCAGCCCCCTGCCAAGAAGCAGGAATATTGCTTCAATTAATGTAATTTTATTGGTATCTATTTTTATTTTGAAATTTACCAGTAGCTGTGGCATTTCCCACCCTTGGCTTATACTTGAGTCAATCCATTTTCCCAGTTCTTTGTGGTAAAATTAGGTGCTTCGGCTTATATTCAGGTCAGCTTATACTTGAATATATACGGTATTTGCACATAATAAGCAGCTGTGCCCTTTAAATTCATTGGCTTAAAGTTTTCATTTGTTATATTTTTCTCATAGCTTTATTATTGATAATGGGGACAACACTTATAGAAGATTTTAAGGATTAAATAACTACTATCTGAAGTAGAAAATAATAACTTTTCCGAGTATCGTGATTTAACAATATCTTGCTTCTGCTGGACAACATTAAGATTTTCCTTTCATTCTGTTTCTTTTTTATATCCTGTGTATATTCTTTCTTATGTCCTGTGACAATTAGTATTGAGATATATTATATATATCTTATATATAATCTTATATATCTTATATATAATGTTGACTTCCCATTGACACATTTGTTCACATTCAACATAAGCCCTGAATGAGTTAATGCCTGAATAGCAGATCTAAAGTGGGTACTCTCAGCTCAAAATCTAACTGCTTTCCTACTTCATTGGTCATGTTCTCAGTGAGTAATTTATTTCTCATGTTGTTATTGCCTAGGTTGGTGGCTGGAAGATCACAGGCTCTTGGGATGAGACAGATTTTAACCAGACTCTTCGATTACTCATGGGAAAATATAATACATTCCCTTTCTTCAAAGCCTACGTAGGTCCCAGTTCTTCTGATCCAAGCATGAACATTATCCAGGTAAGGAATAGCATGAGTGCTTGCCCATATGCTGCCAACTGTATGAGCTATTGGGATTACAGTCAGGAAAGAGCAGTGAGGCTGATACTTCATTTGGTCTGTGTATGTTCCCACATCAACCAGTGTAGAGACTATGGACTGTGGCTGCATAAACAAAGTATAGGACATCCCTTCTGCGGCAAAGTTTCTGTCCAAAGGAGGTTGGACTATAGACATCAGGGATCAGGCTGAGAGACAAGGGAAATGAATGACTGGGAGATAGAATAAAATAGAATAAAATTACATGAGAATTAAAACCAGCAGTGATACAAAAAAGCCTGGTCTGAAACATGTTTTGACTTTCAAGTGTTGTACTTGATACACAGGTGTCAGATAGTTCTTCCTTAACCACTTTCTGTGGGAATTATGCGATCATCCAGAAGAGTGAATGAGAAGTTGGAGGTGGCTTCAGAGTAAACTTCTAGAAGGCTTTGGCATTCACTAGCCTTCCCAGAGTCAGAAAGAGAGAGAAACATGGAGGAAATGGTGCAGGTGTGGTGTGGAGAGCTGATGGAGACAAAATAAGGGGAGCACAAATGTGTATGGAGTGTAAGGATGTAACTTTTTTAGGGAAAGAAGGATGAGATAGAACCTGCATGGTGAAAGCTGTTCACCTAGACATGTAAGGAGGGGCTTTGCTGCTCTGTTTACTTTGTTTTTTCTGGCATCCTTCTTCATTGCCACTTTTCTATGACATGCACTTAAATGTGTGTGAGGCTAATGGTAGATCCACTTTATGAGTCAGTTTATGCATGCATGTTACATCTGGGTCTGTTTGGATATTAAACAGTATCTCTGAGGGTAGCAAATGCACATGCTCTTTCCATGTGAGATGTTTTCATAACTAGTGGGGTGTGTTCACTTTTGAGCCACAGGGTTTAATTCTAATTTGGAAAGGAATCATAGGGACACATTCCAATAGCAGGCAAAGTGGGTATGGCCTCATTTACATCTTATCCTATGAGCAGGACTCTTTTTTTTTTTGGCTGTGCTCTTAGAAGCATAGCCTGGAGTAACAGTTTACTATTTCCATGCTTTAAATAACTTATCTCTGATCACTGATTGGAGATAAGTGTCAAAGAAGCTACAATCCCATCTGATCAATCAGCAGGAGACTCCCCATCTGTAGCATAAAGTTCAGCATCTATCATTAAGCTCTGCTAAAAACCAAGGGTTCGAGATCCAGAGTGCCAAGCTTCCAAAGGACCAGATAATAATAATAATAATAACAACAACAACAACAACAACAACAACAACACTTTATTTATATTCTGCCCTTCTCACCTCGAAGGGGACTCAGGGTGGATCACAAGTACACATACATGGCAAACATTCAATGCCGTTTGTATAGACAGTACACAGACAGACAGCATAGAAGGAGGTGTTGTTTCGATGCCATGGACAGTTGGGCTCGAGTCCACAGGGGGTGCTGTTGCTCCATCCTCTATGACGAAGAGCCATCAGGACTTCCTCATTCCAGCATGTTCTGATGTTCCTTTTCTTTATGGCATTGTGAAAAACCTCCCCCACTTTTAGTGGTACCTAATTTCTCTAATTACAGCTAAAGCTGTTTTCGAACTGCTTAGGTAAACAGTGAGCAGGGCTGACGGTCGGCCGCTCATGCCGACCCAGGGCTTTAAACTTGCAACCTTTCGGTTGATAGATCTTATAGTTGCTGATGATTTACCAGCTGTGCTAAACCTCCGGCCCAGACAAGATACAGACAGATTGAAGGCAAAATCAGAGGCTTTATTCTCAGTGGTCAGAGAGGTTGTCAGTGGTGATAGTCCTCCAAAGAATTGGCATATCCGTTTCAAACTGTTATCAGTTTGAAACACAGGACTTCTGCTGCCCTGAGTATCAATTGGTCCATGTCATGACAGGCTAGGATCTGCAGGCTGGTTGGCTGGGATGTGCTATCTGCTGTTGTTGCTAATTGGCCTCCAGTTTGGAGGGACATATAATAAATTGTCAATGCCCAGTTTGAAGTTTTGTGGCCCTTGCTGGTTCCGTTGCTGGGGAGTGTGAAGGAAAGCATGTGGATGGGTTTGAGGTAATAGATACTAATTACGGTAGCTTCCCCAGACTGGGAAGGACAATAATACGTGCTGGTGAAGCAATGGGTAGCAATGAGTGTTAGCAATCTGGAGTGTTAGCATTGGGCAGCTGCCATGACCTCTGGTTTGACTCCGTTGTTCGGTGTGTGGAATCATTGTTAGGGCATTATGGTAATTGTGGGGTTATCTCCTGAAGTCCTAGGTATAGTGGGGCAACATTCTAATGACATTCATGACAGGTTATTAGCAGTCAAGGAAAAATCAAGTGCCTGCTGGCTGTATATCTCAATGGAACCAGATAATAATTCATAATTTGGGGACCCAATTTCTTGATAACATATTCTTCCCTGCCTGCTTAAGATGTAGTACTCTCTCCCCACCATATACATATATGGTACTTTCTCCCAGTTTCTGCTTTCTTATTTCTTACGATGTTTTATCGTTCTGTCTCCCTTTCTAAGATTGACCATCCAGAGTTTGAGTTGCCATCAGAAACAGATCTTCAGAAAACAATGAAATATTCCCAGGTAGGCTACGAAAATGCATATAAAATAGGCAGTTGGTTTATTGTTTGTCAATAGATTGTTTCCACCCCAACCCAGCCTGTGCTCTTTGGTTGGTACTATATATCTGAGGAACTATTGAGTATATGATTGGAACAAGTTTCTAACCTACTGTATATACTTGAGTATAAGCATAGTTTTTCAGCCAGGTTTTTAGACTGAAAAAGTCCCCCTCAGCTTATACTTGAGTCAAGGTTATTTATTATTTTACTCTGTTATTATTTTATTACATTTATTCTTTTACTATATTTATTATTATTATTGCATTTTTCATTTTATTCTATTATTATTACATTTATTATTTTATTTTATTATTGTTGATATTTTTACATTTATTATTTTACTCTATTATTGTTATTATTACATGTATTAGTTTACTCTATTATTATTATTATTATTATTATTACATTTATTATTTTACTCTTTATTATTATTGGAAGGATACAAAAGCACAAATATATCGAAGAAGGTTAGAATAATAGTTTAATCAGAGTTGGACAGTCTTATCTTGAGTTTTATGTAAATATTCAAAAACATTTAACCTACTGATGCCTCAATTAATGTAATTGTATTGGTATCTATTTTTATTTTGAAATTTACCAGTAGCTCCTGCATTTCCCACCCTTGATTTACATCCGAGTCAATCCATTTTCCCAGTTTTTTGTGGTAAAATTAGGTGCCTCGGCTTATAGACGAGTATATATGGAACTGATTCGCAAACTAAACTTGTGTTTGAGGAATGGAAACATAATTAGGAAAACCAAAAGTAGTCCTAATGGGGAACCAAGCCAAACCTGATTACTTTATAGCTTTTGATGGATATGTATTGCCCCATGTATCACCTGACCGTAACAGCTGTGCAAGCCATTGCAGCTTCTGGCTATCTCTGGCGATCGTACTGCAATGCAGGTAAAGACCTATAGTTTGCCCTTGGGCAGGTTATCATAATCACAATTCAAGTGTCAGAAACCTGTTTAGAGACCCTTACGCTCTCTGTCATTTTCAAATGTTTGCATTATTTCAAAATGGCATATCTGAATGAACCTACATGATATGAAACAGGGCTGGTTGAACCTTTGAGGTACATTTTGAAGACATGCATAGATAAAGAACTCAACAGAGAGACCTCTGGATGTCTTGTGTGTGTGTGTGTGTGTGTTGGGGGTATATTTCTCTGATATGAAAAACGATTCAGAATAAGGGTTTTGTTTTACAGATTCTGCGTTCATACTACTCGTACCTTATGACATTAGGACAACTTATGGGAGGCAACACAAATATTACTTCCACCTACATTCCTTTGGCATTTTCCTTTATCTCGAACCTCCAGAAGGCTGTTACCCCCTTAAAAATGCGACAAGAAAAAAGGATGCTTTTTTACTTCACTACTATCAGAGAGCTGCAGGTTTGTATATATCTTCAGAAATGTAATTGTGAGAGGATTAACAAAGGCAATGGCTGCAAAAACAACAAAATCGAGATCATCTTGGAGATCTGGTGAAAGTGGCTCTTTCATATCAAGAGTTGCTTTGATAAGTAGTCGTATATTACACTGACAAGCTGGAAAGTTGTTGCTATCCTTTTTGTGTGTGTCTGTGATGGCCAAAGTTATAATTCACCCTTTTTCTGAACCACATAATAGGACTTCTGCATTTTACTTGTTGCTGGCTGAGTTCTGTCTCAGTCTGAGCCACAGGAGGGAGAGGCAAGTTGTCATATGGGGTTGTCTCATGCTGCCTCCTTGTGGAATTTGGTGACGAGCAGAAGAGCCAGCAACAAGGAGGAAGAGACTCATTGAAAATGAGAGACTTAACATAAATGAAAATTAAGAGGGGAAATCCTTTAAAAAATGTTAACCTGCTTTTTCTGCTGCCTCCACTCTGGGCTTATCTACGTGCGCTCAATAGCTCATGTTGATTGAAAAGTTATTCCTGACTACCTTCATAAGAGTTGGGGACTTCTGTATCTTATTGAAGGATAAACCAGGTTAAACTGGTTTTGCCTTGCATTGAGAAAAGGCAGGGGATCCTCCATAGTTTGGGTGAAACTCCAGAGCAGCCCAACAATTTTGCATAAGCGGGCTTGTAGCCGGGGGGGGGGGGTGGTCCACGAGAATACTGGTACATTATTTAAACTGTTATGTGTATTCATATCATGAACTGATCACCCTGCTCTATATATCCCATATGCATGGGGGTATTGGGATAAAGATGCAAAAGGTTTGCTAGGGTAGATCCTCAGCCCCCCCCCCAAATCAAACTCAGCCCCTTCCCCCCAAATCAAAATCCTGGCTACAGTCCTGGGCATAAGGTAGACAGCACATAACAACAACCACAAATACAGATTTAAGAACACTGTGATGATTTCATCGGTCCTAGTAAAACATGCCCCAGCCAGGCATTTAACACTATTTTTATTGTGGACCAATCTTGCTCTATGTCTTTTGCTTTTGGATCTGAAATCCTAAAAAGAGTAAGTCTTATTCAGCTTGAGGTTACATCTATTCTGTAGAATGAATGTAGTTTAACATCACTTTATCTGCCATGGTTCAATGCTTCGGAATCATGAGATTTGTAGTTTAGTGAGACACCAGCATTCTTTGGCAGAGATGGCTAAAGACCTTGTAAAAGCAGCTTTGAGTGTTCTTGTGGAGGGAAAAATAATGTGGAGGGTACCCTTGTGGAGGATACAAATAATAATAATAATAATAATAATAATAATAATAATAATAATAATAATGTAAAGATGATCGGCACACTGGATACAGTGCCTAAAGACCTTGGCCTGCACTTAAACACAATTGGTGCTGACAAAATTGCCATTTGTCAGCTGCAAAAGGCCACCCTATTGGGATCAGCACACATTATTCACCGATACATCATATAGTCATAGACACTTGGGAAGTGTCCAACGTGTGATCCAATAAAACAACCAGCATAGTGATCTTGTTTGCTGTGTATTAATCTTGTTGTGTTTCAAATAATGTAAAGGTAAAGGTTTCCCCTTGACATTAAGTCTAGTCGAGTCCTACTCTGGGGGTTGGTGGTCATCTCAATTTCTAAGCCGAAGAGCCGGTATTGTCTGTAGACACCTCCAAGGTCATGTGGCCAGCATGACTGTATGGAGCGCTGTTACCTTCCCACTGAAGCGGTACCTATTGATCTACTCACATTTGCATGATTTTGGACTGCTTGGTTGGCAGAAGCTCACCCTGCTCCCCGGATTCGAACTGTTGACCTTTCGGTCAGCAAGTTCAGCAGCTCAGTGGTTTAACCTGCTGTAACACTGGGGGCTCCCTAATAATAATAATAATAATAATAATAATAATAATAATAATAACTAATAGGACAACTGCTGTGATTCCATACCATTGGGCCATGGCAGTTAAAGTGATATAAAACTTCATTAATTCTACAGTGTAGAATAACCTTTGGTGCCCCATACTTTCATGTAACTGTAGCCACAGAATCAGATTAACAGTGTCACATCCCATTGCTATATATGATAATCCTTTACTCCCTCATTCACTGCACTATCCTTTAGTGTCTCAGCTGTGGTACTTCTTGTCACCCTCCCTGCTTGAACTGTCCACTCACCTTAATGACAGGGATATATAGAGACTTATGAAGGTGCCTCCTTCTGGCTCCAGAGGAACAGTTTCTAATCACCTTTCTCAGAGATCATGTCACCATTTTATTCCTGGCTTTAGGAAAATGCTCCTGCAATTGACTGGCTGTCATGCCTCCAAGCAGCTTTCCATCCTGTGAAGCTGAACATGTCTCAGCAGGTTGCTGTGCATGACATGGATTATTTGAAAGGAATGTCACAACTGATTACAACATGGCAAACTAAGAGGTAAGGAGAAGCAATATTGGACTGTCTTTGCCTCCTGGAAGGGCAAGGGCTAGGTGTGTTAGTCTACAAAGAAATCATGTATGAAGAAGGACACAAGAAAAATAACAAAATAAAAAGTACCATTAACATACCTCCCTAATAGCACAGTAATAAATAAAATAGCTACCGAAAAGGCAGTGGAAATAGCAGCGGTAGACTAAGTTTTCTATCTCCATCATGTCTCATTTAACATAACTCCCTCTCATTTTTGGCAGCAATTATTATGATTAATAATAATAATAATAATAATAATAATAATAATAATATTTAACACTACAGAAATTCAATCCCAATCTTTATATGATTTTAGTTTCCAGAGTTTTGTCTTTAAAATGCAGAAATTTGTAATAATCCGGTCATAGATGTTTCGAGCCCTTCCATACAGCCATATAACCCAGAATATTAAGCCAGAATAACCCACAATATCTGCATTGACTGGAATATGTGAGTCCACACTGCCATATAACCCAGTTCAAAGCAGATAATGTGGGATTTTATTCAGCTGTGTGGAAGGGGCCTTGCTCTGTTTAAGAAAACATCTGATCTTGCCCAATATATAGAAAGCCAAAAGTAATACTTTGCTTCATGTCTCAAGGTAGTAAAGTCGATTGTATTGATTTGATATCATTCTATTTCATTTCATTCTATTCCCACTTTTCTCCAGTATGGAAACTACAGCAGTCATCTATTCAGATATGAGCAAGGGAATGCAGAAAAGAGACAAAATTTCAGGGTGTTGAAAAAAATGGTTTTGTTATAGTTAATTGGCCAAACATATTTTGGTGATATTTAATTGCCTTCTTCAAGAGGTTTGAAAAATAAAGAAATGGAGCAAGAAGTAAACAACAAAAATTATAACATGGGACAAGTTATAAACTACAATATTGATTTTAGCTACATGCGCCATGCATAAAGAAGCACGTACCATGTCTCTATTTTACAAACACATATTAACCAAAAATAAAGTTAATTGAATACAAAATATTACTTAAATACAACTAGGGAATTTCTAACATTTATGTTTGGCAATTGAGTTTGAGAAGTATGAAGCAGATCATTATACTATTTCATTTTTTAAAGGTGTACCTTTGTCATAGTAATTCTACAACAGCGTGGAAAGCTAGGAAATATGGGGGGGGAAACTAAATATGGAAGTGATGAATGTACTCCTTAGTCCACATATAGGCCACGAGAGACTAATGTACCAAGTCTTGACATTGAATTCATTTTCTCTTTTTAAGCTTGGCCCTCTCATCCTAGAAAAAAGTTTCTCTAGTTTTCAAAAACGGATCATGTTCTGGAAAAAAAATCCTATTCAAAGTAAGGGCAGGAGGTGTCACCTTCACTCTGAATTTACTGCAAATCCGATTGGCTATGTAGTGACAACGTGACTTCATTAAGTTGGCTACAAATGGAGAGAATTTACAAAAATGTAATTTTTATGTGTTGGAAAACGACAGCATGAATTTAGTGGATAAATTATACACCTGGTGTATACTTATTGTCTAAGATTGTATAGCCCAACCAAAAAAAAATATCTTGGTGTCTTGGGTTTTAGGATTGTTCCTGGAATTGTTTGAGCACTGATTCATAAAATTACATTAGATAGATCGCAGCAGCTCTAGTTTCTTAGATATGGTTATCATGATTTCTTATGGACAAGCAGACGGCAAATGTTCTGTATCTTGTAAATGTATTTCCCTCAGCGCTGCTAAGAGGCAGACTATCTGGAATTCTTTACTCCCAGAAACTATGCCCCTGTGAAGCAAATGAAGTAGAAACAATAGAACACATTTTATTGCAGTGCCGCTATGACATAGTGCAACGTAGCCAACTTTTATATCCAATTTTGTCCTGCATGGCCAGCCATCCCCCGCAGAGGATTGTTAGATGTCTTTTAGAGGACAAGTGCCGCATCGTGAGCCTCATAGTGGCAAACTTCCTCTTAGTGGTAACAAGGCTAAAAAAGAAACTAACTTCGGATAGGGTATTACTTGAAACCATGTACATTAATCTTGGAAAATGAACTTCTCCTGAGATGGGAGAATTTATTAAAGACTGTTTGTTCACTGATCAGTCTATGGACCATAATAAATATTGTATTGTATCTCAAAATCTATAGCTGATAGGGAAAAATGGTGTCAAATATACCTGGAAACAGGAATACCATTTGAGGCACCAACATGTGTGTTGTCAAGTGGCAAACAAATAGGGAAGACAACTCCTAAATTAAGTATGAAAATTGCTGATGAAGCAGCTACGAGAAATAGGGAAAAAGTAACTATATGTTCAGTGAACATTAAGGTACGTGCAGATCAAGCTGCAATACCCCAACAGCCTGGAGTAGCTCAATGGCTGGAGCAGCTCAATTGCTGCTCCTTGTGCTGTTACTCCGTATTTGATTGAAGAAACAGTAACAGTGTTCTTAGCCCATTCATGTGACTAGAATTCCTCATTCTAGTCTTTGGAATCATCCCTGTGACATGCCTTCCTACCTTCAGAAGTAACTATCAAAGGTATTTGTCTGCGCCTTGAATTCTGATCACATATTTTTCTTCAGTCCTGTACTGATGCCCACCCTTCCCAGCTCATATTGATGGTATGAAAGACTCTCGTCTGGTGTACTTAAAAAATACTAAGGACAGACATGGGGGCACACATCATTAGGGCTTTCATCGATTGCTGTAGTTTAAATAGCTTACTGTGTTTGAATGTAGGGTATTAAAGACATGAACTCTTAATTAGCTACATAAAATTTCTCTTGCTTGTTACAATTTGAGGCTAATGTTTTAAAGCAACTTAAACATTCTCTGCAGGATTTTTTTAATCTTTTCCCCCTTCAGAGATGTACTACAGATCTACATGATACTTTGCCTGGTTGGAAATCTCTCCCCAGCCTTAAATAGACAGTTCCAAGAAGCTCGTCAGCATCTGACAGACCTGCTATATAGTGGAACAACAGAATCACCTGTGGTGAGGTTGCCTCCTATATTTGTGGCAGCAATGATTAACACTAAGCTGGAATTTCCCTTTTCAAGAGGGCCTGAGAAATCATTCCAAGGGAGGCATGGGGTCTTGGCAGCCTTTTGGGTTGATGGCAATAGATGCCAGAGCCCATTTTAACCAAAAAGAATGGTGGGGAGGGGGGTGACTGCTCTGTTGGTAAATACTACCTATAATCACTGATATGTTCCTATTAAGTATAATTTTCTCAGGATAGAGATTCCATATTTGGTCATAAAAAGCAAGGTGACATCCACTAGTGTAGCTTCCTGCTGCCATTACATTAATGAATCTGGACAGAATGAGGAGGGTGTTTCCAAGATACACCAAATAGTCAACACAACTAGATCCACATTCACTCAGAACTCAGATTGGCAGGGTGGCTCACTTCATGGCTGTCTGACTTGCAATGGTTGAAAACTTTGGCCATATCTGGAATTGCAATTGTCATAATTCTACTGATATTTTTGTGTTGCTTCACTTTGATAATATGTGCTTGTGGAGTTGCTCTGTCCTTTGCAGTGGCCCCTAGAAAAACTGAACAGATACAACTCTTGGATGTCATTCCAAATTGGGATCACAACAGAGAATATATCCCTAGGTTGGAAGAATGTACACAGATGATTGGCCAGAACAGGGGTTCATTGTGTGGCAATAAGATTAACTGCCTCTTTGCTCTGCTTTTGTAAATCTGCTTGATTTGCCTTGCTGAAAGGCTTCAGCTCTGCAAAAGAAAAAGAGTGGAATGTTGGAGATATGGCTTTAAAAGAGAATTTTCAGGGATGTTCCCAATGCCCATACATCCTTTTTACTGCCATATTGGCCTGTTTCTGCAGAGTGCCTTCGTTTACAGAAAATGCTGGTTGTTTGAGAAAACAGTGCTCAAGAGGAAATTACTTTTCAAGGATAACAGTATATCTGGACAAAACTGGCTAGCTAGTGGATAGTTTGAACCCTCAAGTTTTCCAGTTGCTCCAGAGTTATGTTTGCAACAGAATAACAGATAAGATTGATTTATTAAGACAGTCGTGGTCAGAGAACAATAGACTACAGTTGTGCTATAGTTGCACCATTGTTAGTGTCCCACGTGTGCTATTATGTCAGTCAAAATCATAAAGAACCAATGAACAACTGTACAGCTAGCTTAGACCAAAGAAATGATTTGTCTTTGGAAACCAGTGAGAATGTGTATTCAATTTACTGTCAAAAATGATAAAAACTCTGCAGCCCTATTGGGGGTTGCAATAAATCCTTCGATTGCATTTCTCTATGCATGTTTATCGATGTTGCTATGGTCACGCAATAAAGCTTTCGTAGTAATAATCCAACCTATGGCTTCCTCCTTGCATGGCTACATTGGCCCGTTAAGTTTGTGCATTTGGAGTGCTGGTGAGCCCATGCCCCTACATTGGTGCCCCTTCGCCACTTTTTTAATACTTCAGAAAGACTTTCTAGTAAATCGTGTCCAATGAGAATTTTTATTTTTTTTCACTCCAAGGTGAAATCGGAGCGTTGGAGAAAATGCCTGAGTGAGACCAGCACATTTTTTGGCCCTGTACTTGGGAGGATGGTTGTACAGGAGATTTTCCCTCAGAAGGCCAAGGATCTCGTAGGTATTCAATAATACTAGACTCAGACTTGCTTTTTGCTATTCTCTTGCTTTCTAAGTTAAAATCCTATTAAACATAATTTGTGTTTATGCTCTTTTGCTTAGCTGGTCTGTTTGAGCCAGAACATGGATGGGGAGATACAACTGTAGAGTAAAGGATTTCCACCAGAAAGGGAACAGGTTCTTGTAATGGTCAAATTAGTTTTTAAGAGAATCTTAGAGAGAGCGGCCAACCCTCCTGTTTAAGAAGCTCCACTGGCTGCCGTTCATTTTCTGGTCCCAATTCAAGGTGCAGGTTCTTACCTACAAAGATGATGCCATGGCATTGCATTTCTATGCAGATGATAATGGATGTAACAGTGATGAATGGTTTTTGGTTGAATATGTGGATATTTGTTGCCATATACCCAAGGAAAAATCAGAAACATTAGAGTCTGTTTTCAACTTATTGTAGATGTTCAATATATGCAAACCCAGACATGTCATCAATATTAAATTTGATGGGGTAAGAGGAGCTAGAAGCAATAGTTTGAATTCAAATTGTTTCCTTGAACAATGTTTAAGACTAAGGACAATTTGTCCAGCTTTGCCAATAATGACAAGCTTGAATTAGGTGAAAAATGAGTAAATTTCCTCGTGTTTCTTAGAGCAGGAGAAAGGAAAGGTAGTTCATGAGCTCAGTGATTACTCATATAATACTAAAACTGGGATATAAATCATTCACCCCTCCAGACTCTTGGATTTCAGCAGTCCTTGTCAGCATTGTAGGAGTTGAAGTCAAAGAGCATCTGGGGAGCCACATGATTCTCACCCCATGGTTTAACATTACATCCAATTATAACCACTACATTTCCTTAATTCTGGGATTTCTTTCCCCTTCTTGGCAAGGCCGAGGTGATATTTGTTGAGATCCGAGATGCCATCCACAGCCACCTGGATCGTGTGAAGTGGATGGGCCATCAATCTCGCCAAGCGGCCAAGGAAAAGGTATGCGTGTGCATATATACAGTGATTGTCAGAACTAGGACGTGGTTGGGTGGCTCTATCAGAAACTGGAAATCATACTCTCCAGGGTTCTCAGGATCAGTGGACATAGCAGGAAATGATCCATGGACAGCAATAAATAAAAGGTACTTCCTTGCTGCTCAATCAAAAATTGATCAAGATACTAATATTTATGTTAGGTCTAACCAGTCAAGATGTTTCACACAGACTCATACAAGCCGTGGGTACACACACATTTTCCTTTGGTTTCCACAAAGGATCCTGAAACAAGAGCTACTAGAGATCTTTCACAAAAAATATCTAAGATATGAGCAAATATGCAGGTTATACTTTCTGAGTAATATCATATACTGTGTCTGAATCTTATGAAGGAAGTGGTTAATAACCCTGGGTTACTTCATGGGTATCAGAAGTTATTCAATATGATAAGATGAAGTAAAATTATATTTTATCTCAATTCTTCTTAGATATATAATCTCCAGGTGGAGATTGGCTATCCAGAGAAGATCTTCCAGACAGATGAAGTAGATGCCGAGTATCGAGAGGTAAGCACTTGTCATGCAAGTGACCTTATGCTTGGACTATGAATTGTTTACTGGGGGCAGATTCTCTTAAGATAGAGGACACCCCTCCCCGGCTGCCCTGTTACTCCACTTACTCCATTACCAGGGGCGACTCAACCCATTACGCAAAGTAAGCATTTGCAGTATAGTTGATTTTGCCCAGGGGCGCTCTTGAGGCGCTCTTGGGGGAAAATAGACCTTGACATATGCAAGTTGTAGTTACTGGGATGTATAGTTCACCTACAATCAAAGAGCATTCTGAACTCCACCAATGATGGAACTGAACCAAATATGGCACACAGAACTCCTACGACGGGTGCCAAAATACTGTTTGCTTACCGTTTAAAATTACCTAGGGACGCCTCTATCCATTACTTTACTTTTGTGATCTTTTAGATTACAATAACACTTGAGATTTGTAATAATAATAATAATAATAATAATAATAATAATAATCTTGATAGACAAACATCCAATGCCCTTAGCGAATATAAACACGTCAGAATAATACAAAATAATACAAGATAATAAAAATAAACAGTAAACGTATAACAAAAGAGAATTAACATCAAAATGAAAAACAGAATACAAATAATCTAATAGACATAATTATACTAATAATACTAATAGCATAATCCCTGAGAGAATGATTAAAATACATAAAATGGCTATCGTGATTGTTCTTTCACATGTACCATAGCAGCAATGGAATAACAGATAAGTTAGCCAGTGTTCCAGTGGAATTAAAAATGTCCTAGTCCTCCTCCTCCGCCATATACTAACATGCATAGGCATGTTTTCAAAAGTTTTTTTTTGAAGGAGAGGAGGGTGAAGGCCATTTTTATTTCTTTAGGAAAGGAGTTCCAGACACTGGGAGCGATCATGCAGAATACCCATCTCTTGTTCCCACCAACCGTCCTTGTGACAGGGGTGGGAGCGAAAGCACGGCCTCCTCCATTGATCGCAGTGCACAAGATGCCCTGTATAGGGAGATGCAATTAGACAAATAGCCTGGACCCGAACCATACAAGGCTATTGTACCTTAACTTTTATTTATTTCATCCTACAATTTATAGTGGTATACAAATGTGTTTAAATATTAGTTAATCAATTGTTTTATGTATTAATTATAACGTTTAGATCTAGTACTTTATCCACATGTTTTAAGGTAATCTATAATTGCATAAAATTTAAAACAGTTTAAACCGTGTACATGTGTAACTTGGATAAAAGCTTCAGACTGAAAGGGATTTTATAAAAAGCTATGTGTTAACTAGAATGTTAAAATATTAACCTCATAATAGTTCATGGGGAAAAGGGGTGTGTGGTTATATGCAGTGGTGACTATTACGCAGTGAAAAACATTTGCCCAACTATGGGAGTTCCCTTGGCTAGCAGCCTCACCCCCCAAGTTGCACCACATCCTAGATTCACTCTCATGGGCATGGGTGAGTGAATTAAGGATGCGACAATTATGCAAGAAAAGGGGGAAAAACATTTTGGGTCACCCCTCCAATGGGAGTGCAGCTCTTATGTGGTTGCAACTATTATTCAATGAAATAATGTAGCTAACAAAAACCACACCATTGAGGGGTGAATCTACAATGTAGAAATAACGCAGTTTGACATGACTTTAACGGCAATGGCTGAATGCTATGGAATTAAGGGAGTCGCAGTAAGAGGACGCAGCAGCACTCTCTGGCAGACAAGGCTAAAGATCTTATAAAGCTACAATTTGCATGATTCCATAGCATTGAGCATTGGCAGTTAAAGTAGTCTCAGATTGCATTAATTCTACAGTGTAGAATGTTGCTGTTTTCACATATATTTTTTGTGTGAACGTAAACATGTTCTTTATAGAGATGCCAATAAAATATACTATAACATTGATTATACTACATCTTGAGCAGATTGGGTTCAGTAATCTACACCTGTAGTGAACTATGTAAAGGTGGCATGATGGATTAAACCCTTGTGCTACTGAACTGCTGGCCTAAAGGTTAGCTGAACTACTGACCTGAAGGTCGGCATTTTGATTCACAAGATGAGATGAGCTCCTGTTTGTCAGCTCCAGTTCCTGCCAGCCTAGCAGTTTGTAAACATATAATGTGTGAGTAGATAAATAGGTACCACTTCGGTGGGAAAAGGCAAAGAGACACTCCAAGCACTGTTGCTGGCCATACAATCAGGAGATGACAATGCAGGCTGCTCAGTTTGAAAATGGAGGAAAGCACCTCCCCAGAACCAGAGATGAGCACTGCCTCTAGAAGCCAGAAATGAAAGGAGAAGCCTCTACCTTTGTTTGTGTTTATGTGTCTCACTGTATATGATTGTAAAGGCATTGAATGTTTGCCTATGTATGGACATGCTGTAATCCCTTCTGAGTCCCCTAGGGAAGAAGGGCGGAATATAAATAAAGAGTTATTGTAAATAATGCACAGTGAAGGCATTGGGAAATAGCAAATATTATAGTACAGCTCCATAACTAGCGAATAAAAGTGAGATAATTATTACCTTGTGGTTATGTATTGAAGCAATCTTTTATTATTTTCTAGCTTTTCATCCATTAATACCAAAGGGGAAAAAACTGGTTTTATTTCCGTTTTCATCTTTGGAACCCTCTGCAAGCACAAGTGTATTTGAATCCCCTTTAAAGTTTTTTCATATATCCACCACAAATGGTACAATGTCCCTTTGTGCAATTCACATTTCCAACAAATATTTTTTATGTTCTAGTCAATTTCTCTGGGTTTATATACCAATGATATATCATTTTATAAAACTTCTCTTTAAGATCAAAGCATAATGTTAAGTTCAAACCTTTTGATCACACATTTTCCCATTGATCTATCTTTATATCATAAACAAAGTTCTTACCCCATTTTATCATATAGTATTTAAATTGATCTCCTTCCATTTAAAACTTCAACAAAAGTTATACATTTGGCAATCTCTGCACAGTTGCATTTCCAAGTTGCATTTCAAATTCTGACCTGTGTTGTTCAAAACCTTGGTCCTTTTTTAAAATCAGTTTTAAATCTTTCTGATAATTGTAGGGAAGTAAATCATTGAAAACTGCATCCATCTGCTCTCTTGATTTTATTTTATTTCCCCCCTGGGCCCTGGCTAATCTCTAGGAGGGAATGGTATATTAGCCACTTTACTGGTTGTTTCTCTTCTATAAAGATTTCTGGAGCTAGAACTATAAAACAATTTTTGGCACAAGCTGTATTTATTTCTATTTCATATTCTTGATTGTTCTTGCTGACCTGAGTTCAACCAAGCTTTGATGACTGGCTCTGTTTTCACTCTGTAAAACCTAGCTGCTAATTTCTGCAGAGTTTCAGCAAGAGTTGTGCAGCAGACAGGACACATCTGAAAGAAATGGAAGCTGCAAGCAGAATTGGGACTAAAGTGAATTTAAGCTTAGCATTTCAGAGCCTTTAATATAGTTTAGGGTTATAGCAGTGGTTCCCAACCTTTTGTTGACCAGGGACCACTTGACCAGGAACCACTTTGACCAGGAACCACTCTCCAAAATTAGTACCAAAAGGGTTACAAATCAGTTTTTGGTCAACTTTAGATTTGGCTTGGTTATTTGGGGTGCTGATCCAGAAAATTGCATTGGATAGACCACACCAGCTCTAATTTCTGATGCAGAAAATATGCCATCCAGTAGTCACTATCTGCTTGCTCACAGAAATCCATATTTAATAAGCCTCGACACTATTAGAGGGTTTTGAGAGACCAGTCATTCTAGTTGCAACGGTGTAGGCTGTGGAGCATATTTTAATTCTTGTGGACCTCTGGTGCTCCACGGACCACAAGTTGGGAACCACTGGGTTAGAGAAAGCCCCTTCACTTCACCAGGTCGTGAAAAAAATGGAAGAATCAACAGCAATTGTCTTTCCTAAGAACATTACTGGGAACTTTACAAAAAGGCAGTAAGACCTTTTTTGTATCAGGGCTCTTCCGCACAGCCCTGTATCCCAGAATATCAAGGCAGATAATCCCACATTATCTGATTGTGGAAACAGATAACCCAGTTCAAAGCAAATATTCTGGGATATAGGACTGTGTGGAAAGGTCCTCAGTCACATGAGGTAGTCTGCACATCGACATGAGCATCGTCTGGATATAAAGATGTTTTGCTTGGAGTCCAGTTGATTGCCCCCTACATTCATATTGAACACTTACACTACTTTTAAAAAGATATTGCTGACTCCTTTGGCAGAAACAAGGCTTGGGATCATTCCCGTGAGAAAGAAAATGTGTTCATTGGCACCACTGAGATAATAATTTAGGAATCCCGATATTTTGTTTCCCCTACCTCTAACCTTATTGTATGATTCTTTTCTCAGCTGGAAATTTATGAAGATACCTTTTTCCATAATGTGGTTGCCTGTCTGAAAGTTTTGAGGAAGAGGTTCTCACTGAAACTTGTCAATTCTCATCTACAGGAAAAGTATGTTTATCTTGTAGTATGAAGGAAATACTATATGAATGCAAGATAGCCTGTGGTGTGGCAAATGGTTTTTGCCCATTTCTTTCTATAATCATTCCATATAGGTATGCTATGTTCTGTTCCATGTTATGTTCCTTCTAGTATTCCTTTGAGAACATATAAAATTTGTTGCGCTAAGCGTATTTCAGTCAAGTCCAATGCAGAAGACACAATAACATTGCACCCAGGCAAGAGGGGAAAAACAGAAAAACTTTACTCTTATCAGCAGAGTTAAAACATAAACTTGCAATGTTACAGTCTTTGTAAGCAATACAGAATAAGGTTTCTTCATCTTCATCCAAATGAGAGAGCAGCAGAAATGGTTGAACAAAATGCCCGAGCAAAGGCTCCTCAGAGCAAAAGCTGAACTGTATTCTAAAAACCATACAATTATACCCCACCAGGTGTGGTCCAAACTTACTAGTTGACCTACATTACCAGCTGCACATAATAATTAACAGCATAATGTTTTCCTTAACATACACACATACTTGATCCTGTTATGACTTACTGTAACAAAATTTTCTACCAAAATAGTTGGTAACACCTTTCAGTTTACATTCCCTCCCCCCCCCCCCTTTGTAGAATATAAGAAAGCACTATATATGGATTGGCCACATTAAAAAAAACCCGAAAGCTATGAAGAAATGTTTATACAGAGAGTTCTGTTTGGACATCATTTGATTATTAGCATTTTGTGACTGGCAATTAATTACATGTACTACTGAGTCTACTGGCAGAGGGTCGGGGGAGTTCTTTTTTGGAATGACTTCAAAAGACTTTGTGATGCCATCCATGATAACTTATTTATTATTATATTATATATGCAGCTCTCAATGATGTATTTTAGTTCTCATTTGACAAACACAAGTTGATGGATCAATATTTGGTATTGCTACAAACAACTGAGTGGGAGTATTGTGGAGGTACCATGGAGACCCAGACTGATTGAGCACGCTAAGCAGAAGAAGATATTGAACAAAATGTTGATCCAAATAATTTCTTTCTTTGTTATTATCTTTTGATTTTTTTTCTATGTTAGCTGGGAAGTGGCTCCTTGGTCTGTACATTCATACTATTCACTGAGACGCCATGCTGTCGTTTTTCCTGCTGGTATGTTCCGCAGCCCCTTCTTCCATACTGAATTTCCCAGGTAAGGAAGATAGCAAAATTTATACAATTATTGCCTATTGACTAAATTGTGTTATAAACAGGATTTTTAAAATGGCTAAGGAGATATTGATCAGGCCTATCTAGTCCAAGATCTGAGTGTCCCATCTGGCAGGCACTAACAGTGTCAGCCTCTATGAATACTTACATAAAAATATATTCCAGAAAGGAATTTGCCTTTCCCCCCATCAGCTGCACACTGGGCTGACATACTCATTGAGCTCTTCCCCAGTGCCTTAAGATGTCTTTTGTCATTTGCTGCCAATTCAGATTTTCTATCCAAATATCTCCCTACTTTACTAGTTCACAGTGATTTTCATTTCTCATTGTACCCCCTGATCTCCTGGTTTCAGGAGATCGTTTTGGAACTCTTTCACAATCAATTTTTATTCTCACCATCCTAAATAATGCAATGCCTCTGCAGACTTGCCCAGCTCACTGTTTAGGGCAGTGGTTCTCAACCTGGGGTCCCCAGATGTTTTTGGCCTACAACTCCCAGAAAGCCTAGCCAGTTTACCAGCTGTTAGGATTTCTGGGAGTTGGAGGCCAAAAACATCTGGGGACCCCAGGTTGGGAACCACTGGTTTAGGGCATGTTAACACTGAAAACTAAATATAGCCCGAAGGCAGCTTGACATGAAAATAGATCCCACTTGAACATTAGGAAGTTCTCTGGAGGCTTTGAAACAGAGGCTAGATAGCCATCTCTCAAGGGTACTTTGATTGTGCTTTTCCTTCATGGCTAGGGGTTGGACTAGATGGCTCATGGGTCTCTTCCAAAACTGTGATTCTATGACAGTGTCTTATTTTGATTACATACACCATGAATGTGTGCAGCAATATGCATTAAGGGAGTATAAATTGGAATAAGGCAAGTCAGGATATACTCCAAAATAAAGCCCATAATGCACATCAACACGCCAAAGTGTAAACCACATCATATGGCAAAATCGATTAAGGGATGAATGTTTTGGTGATCCAGATATGCACATTGAGGGGGGAGGTTAAAAAAAATTCCTCCACAGCCCTGAAGCTGCAGATACTGTGGATCTTAGAACAGTTAGAGGTCAGTCTTTGTGGTGCATATCAGCACCATCCAGCCTTGAACCAGTTTTAGAACATGTTCATCCACACATTGAAACTGCTTCCTTCTCTGCTGATTTCACATTGATCTATTAAGTGGTCAGTGTAGATGTATCCTTCATTTTAACTTCTGATTTGTATTGAATTGTATTCTCAACTCACTTCTGACACAATAAAATAAACTTCTGATAAAGAAGTCTCTGAAAAAAAGCCAGTGCTGACTGCTCTCCATTGAGAGGAGCGACTACTTACTTCTGATCTCAGTCTTATTATCTTTTAACAGTTTTTGGTTCGCAGAAAGAGGTCTCCTCTCACCCTATGATTGCTGAATTTGCTTGAGAGTAATTGATTATCTTCTCATATGAGGGCAATTGAAGCTTCCTAAGGTCTTATATTGTCTCTTTTTCAGTGCTGTGAACTTTGGAGCTATGGGGTTTTTCATGGCACATGAGTTGCTCCATTCCTTCTATGATTATGGTATGTATTGTGGATAATTGTTTTAACTTCTGATTTGTATAGAGTCGGGCCTTCTGCTGCATGTTCCTTTGGTATCTTAGTTCTGTAAGGCCAGCCTGGTTGCCAGGTGCATTGAAACCCCAGCCACATTTTCTTATACACAAAGCAGTATCAGAAGAGGTTAGTTTTCCATATAGAAATTTCAAGTGGGATAATGTGTCTTCCACACTCCGTTTCTTCCCTCAAAAACCCATTCCTCTCCCAGTCAGGATTTCAATACTCAAGGAACTTGCGTAATGAGCAATTCTGTCCCCAAAAAAACTAGACTCAAAATATCCATCAGTGCCATCTGTTATGGCCAGTTGTAAGAGATGGTAACAGTTACCCATGTCTTATACAAACCTTTTACTCAGTGCAAGTCAAATTAAAAAGAACTACCTCAGCATTCAAAATAAACTTCCATAAAATGGAGGAAAAATGGTTTCCAACACCCTATTGTCAGATCTCTCTTGTTATGACTTTGTCACAGTAACCAGTCCCTTCTTGTAGAGTGTAGACCCAATGGCATGCCAAGCAATGCTTTGGTATTTTTGAAGGTAGCTAATAATGTAGCCTTTTCTGGACTTCTCCTCTTCTGAAATGTTCACTCAATTGAGAGGGGTGGACTTGTGAACTATACTGTAGGGTTTTTCTTTTCTCTTTGGTTTTTTCCTGAATTTCCCTTTTGTTTGTTTATAGTGTTGACCAAGAACTGTTCTTCCTGTGACATGAAAACACTGATGCAAGGCATAGAGTGCCTTGTGAAACAGTATGAAAACTACTCTGTGGAAAGCCACCCTATCAATGGTTCGTTTACCCTTCTGGAGAATGCCGCCGACACAGAGGGACTTGCCATTGCTTACCAGGTATCAGAACTAGATTTAAGATGTGTCTTACAACCTCATGTTACTCAGAGTTGTCCCCTCGTCCCCCCTCCCTCTGCTTTCTATACACTTTAAAGATGGAGTCCCATGGAGCCCATCAAACAATGCAGGACTGCTTCCGGTGGTTGCCCATGGGATTTTGTCTTCAAAGTGTATAGAAACAGGAGGATTGTGAATTTGGGGAAGAATTTGCTCTCCCTGTGCATAGAAACAGGGTATTTTTAAGGTGGAATTGGAACTGTTGGATTTTAAGGTGGGATGAAAATTTTTGTTAAATTCTCTGTTTCCTTTGAAAAAAGGAAGGGCACTGAATGCCACACGAACAAGACGATTCCCCCTGCTTTCCTCTATTGTGAGATGAGATCCTAAAATTTTGACAGCTGGTTTAGCTGTTGGATCTTTTCCAACAGATTGTTCCACAGTTTTGGGGTGATGAAAAGGTGGCTGTTGCCAGCCTGGTTTTCACTGGTTAGAGTAGATGCCCCACAGAGCACCTCAGTGTCTGAGGCAGATTGTGCAGAAGAATGTGATCCTGTATGTAGCCTGGATTCAAACCAGGTAGGGCTTTAAAGGACAAAACCAACACTTTGTACTTTGTCCAGAAACTAATTTGCAATCAGTGTAGTGACTTTATATAGAAATGTAATATGCTCACTTCTAGATGTTCCTGCTGTGTTCCTGCTGTGTTTTGAACGAATGGAAATGTTACACTTGGCACAGAGTAGCCCAATGTAAAGTGCATTGCAGACCTAATTCTTAGTCTAACCTTTGGGTATTAAAGGACACAGGTATCAATGTACTTCAGCCACACATTCATCTGTCAATTCATCTTGTATTCCCCTTGCCCAACAAAATCCTAACAAACTTGGAATAGGAAAAAAGTCCCCACAAGCATGTCCCCAATGGCTATACTGTTATCATAACTGAGCTCAGAACAACAACAGTACTCTTTTCTAGAACCATTTATTTCATGGTTGTTTTTTTTTTAAAAAAAAGCTCTACAAAACAGAGAGTTATTCAACTGTTTCCATTCAAAATGGCTTATAGTTCATTATTAGTCACTTTAAAAAGATAAACCATCCTTCAGTGAATTGGTACAGTGTTTTATGTGTACATATACAGTCCATAATAAAATTCTCCACATCTTTGTTAGAGTAATATTGAGAGACAATCTTGAACCAGTCCAATGTTTAGAGTATTAACTTGAAAAAAGTAGGTTTGGCTCTAGGAAATGTGGACAGAAAATCAACAAAGTGCCCAGGTGAATGTGTGAGGATGGATAATGGCATGATTCACTGTTAAAGTATTACTTCTTTAAAGAGATAATGATTGGGAGGTGTTAGCTGGCCCTGATTGATTTTTGTCTGGAATTCCCGTTTTTTTTAGTGTTGCTCTTTGTATTGTCGACGGCTTTCATGGCCGGAATCACTGGGTAGTTGTAGGTTTTTTGGGCTGTATGGCCATGTTCTAGAAGCATGATCTCCTGACATTTCACCTGCATCTATGACAGCCATCCTCAGAGATTGTGCGGTCCTCACAACCTCTGAGGATGCCTGCCATATATACAGGTGAAATGTCAGGAGAGAATGCTTCTAGAACATGGCCATACAGCCCGAAAAACCTACAAGAACCCAGTGTTGCTCTTTATTTATTGTCCTGATTTTAGAGTTTTTTAAAACTGGTCACCAGATTTTGTTCATTTTTATGGTTTCCTCCTTTCTGTTGAAATTGTCAATTTCAACATCAGGAGAGAATGCTTCTGGAACATGGCCACACAGCCCGGAAAACTCACAGCAACCCAGTGATTCTGACCATGAAAGCCTTTGAAAACACAATCTAACAAATGGTTCCTCTCACCTCACTTCATCTCTTAAGATAAGAGGGCAAGGCATCAGCAGTGTGTAATTGTTGCGGAGGGGAAGGGATATTATTATGTGGGTGATGAACCTGGCTCAGCCATTCTCTTGTATTAGTGGGAATGGGGCAGCTACCAGAAAGCTGTAATATTCTGTACACTGCTTATGGAAAAGCCTGCTCCTTGCCTGGGTTCAAAGAAGTAGAGCTTCCTGGTTCACGCTCAAGTGGGGCACAAGGCACTTCTGACTCAGCTGATGGCATATTGCCCACTTGGATTTGGGAGATTTGCTTTGATGTAAGCACCTCTGTTTTTTATGTTTCATACTGAAAGGAGCATCTGCTAGCCAGGCCAGGAAGAGTGGAGCCCCTAAATGCTCTTTTCTTTTTATCCCCCATGGAAAATGTTCCTCCCTCTCTTGCCTGTAAGTGGCCAAGGTCAAAGTCTCAATTGCTGTGGCTGTTTTTGGATGGTGGAAATTGAACAAGGGAATCTGAGTAGGAATAGAATAAGCATTCAACGAATCTCCAAACACAGGATTAAGTAGCATCAACTTCTCTAGAAGTGCTTACTTGGCAACCTGGCAGAATGGAAGCATCTGACTAGACTTGCAACTTCATGCCAAAATGGCTAAAATGCATTTTGAGATTTATATTCTTTCCCCCAATCCCATCCATTCCCTCTCTCTTCTCTTGATCCACAGGCCTATCAGAACTGGTTGGCAAAGCAGAGTGCAGTGAAGGAGTTACCTTGGCCTGAGCTTTCGCACAATCAACTCTTCTTCATCAGTTTTGCTCACGTAATTCAACATTAGTTTTCTTGTTGTGTTTCCTCTGATTTGTTCTGGATATTTTTGAACATTTCCATAGTTTACATTTCCCCTTTTTCCTATCTTCCTTTATGGTGGGGTGTCAAACCCATTCTCATTGAGGGCTGCATCAGTTTTACGGTTGTCTTCAAAGAGCCATTGAATCCATGAATGGAGAATCCATGGATGCAGAGGGCCAACTATAATTTTTTTACAGTGGTCAGTGCTCTTTAGTTTGTAACCCAGTTTGGGTCCCCAGATGTTATTGAACAACAACTCCCATTGCTTTTGATTATCCATCATGCATACTGGCGATAATGGGAATTGCAACCCAACAGCAGTTGTGGCTCTGAGGCTGAGGAAAGTTAAAAGGCATTTTAGAGTCAAACATCATATCCTTAAGCCTTGTATCTAAATTCAGACCCTACTATCTGCAACCTTCCAGGTGTTACTAAATAATAATAATAATAATAATAATAATAACAACAACAACAACAACAACAACAACAACAACAACCCCCATTGGGCACCGCCTTGTCATTGGTGGGGGGGTGGGTTAACTGCTTCTATGATGTTGAGAGCTGTGCTGGCGGTAGTTGAACCAGCAGGTTCAACCAAGCGAGAGTGATCCCAGTGGTGATCGGCACACTGGGCCCACTGCCTAAAGACCTTGGCCTGCACTTAAACACAATCAGCACTGACATAATTGCCATCTGCCAGCTGCAAAAGGCCACCTTACTGGGATCTGCACACATTATTTGCCAATACATCACACAGCCCTAGACACTTGGAAAGTGTCAGAGGTGTGAACCAATACAACACCCAGCAGAGTGTTTGCTATGGACTCATCTTGTTGTGTTTCAAATAATAATAACAACAATAACTTTATTTATATTCTGCTCTATCTCCCTAAGTGGACTCAGGGCGGATCACAGTACACATACACGGCAAACATTCAATGCCATTTTGGATAGCCAATACAGGAACAGACCGAACAGAAGGAGGTATGTTGTGTGGGCATCAACATCCAGCTTTTTGGCGCCTTGGAAGGTTGTGCTCAAAATCCCATCATGGGAGTGGGGGGTGCTATCACTCCATCCTCTATGAAGAAGAGCCATCAGGACTTCCTCCTTCGTTTTGGTCACCCTGCATTTTCTGGGTTTTTTTCTTTATGGTGTCATAAAATACGCCCCTGCTTGTTTTAGCGATATCTAATTTTTCTAATGACAGCACAAGCTGTTTTGAACTGCTTAGGTCAACAGTAAGCTGGGCTTGACAGTCAGCAGCTCACACTGACCCAGGACTTCGAACTGGCAACATTTTGGTTGGTAGACCTTATCATTGCTGGTGATTTACCAGCTGTGCTAAACCCCAGGCTTTTCACAATTCCTATCAGCTCTAGTCATGATGTATAATGATGAAAAATACAGGAGTTGTAGTCTAGTATCTAAAGGGCCACATAGAATGACCTGGTGGGGTGGATTTGCCCCTGGGACTTGAGTTTGACACATGTGCTTTCTTTTTGAGGGGAGAGTTATATGCATCCTGCTGCTTCTTATATTCTGCTCCTATTGCTTCATATCACTAGGCGTGCTGCAGTAATTGTACAAATATAATTAGAAGTATGTGCTTGGTTGCAGAAGGACAATGTCTCTTTGCTTCATTTTCTTTTTTCCAAACTCATCTTGTTCTCCTTAGCCCGCATAAATAAGGTGAGGACTTGACCCAGTTCCAAACTTAGCAATTCCATGATTTGTCATTAAGCACACAAACTATACTCACCATTGCCTACGTGTGACATCTCCTCTTCCTCTTTGTATTCAAGTGGTGGGAGAAATTTAAAAAGATTCTGGTCATGAGTTTCCAGTTCTGTTCAAAGTTGGTGAATAATATCTTAGCTTGCTTAAATAGAGGCACAGTTTCTAAATTGTGGGAAATAATAGTCCCACTATATTCTGCACTGGTCAGGTGTCATTTGGAGTATTGCATTCAGTTGTGGTGGGCTAATTTTAAGAAGGATAAAGAAAGTTTGGAGTAATTTCAGAGGAAGGCAAAGAGGAGGATAAATGATATGGAGAACAAATCATATATGGAGAGGCTAAAAATGCTGGATAGGTTAAGCTTTGTAAAGAGAAGGTTAATATTGATATGATTGTACTTTTTAAGTATCTCAATTGTGTTGCGGAGAGGACGGGGCAGATATTTTCTGACAAACTTCTGTGAGCCTAGTGTTCTCCAGAACTGGGAATTGCTGCTCATGGAAAATATTATGTAGAGTGTACATATGGAATTTTGTGAACTGTCTCATTTGATGTTTAGGGTTTCCTTGAGTAGTTAGAAGTTTTGGGGTTTTTTTACTGCTGCACATTACATTTGTCAGCAAATGCCAAGGGGTATGTGGGAAATGATTCTGGTTTTGCCACTGTTGAGTACTTACCCGTCTATCTCCTCTACAGGCTATGTGTGGGCACCCAAGATTCAAGGGACTGCAGGGCTTCTTACATAGGGATCCACACAGTCCTCCTTCATCTCGTGTCCGTGGGTCCTTAAGCAACAGCCAAGATTTCTCCAAGCTCTTCCACTGCCCAAGTGAGTCAGGAATGAATCCAGCTCTAAAGTGTCACATCTGGTAGAACAACCTGAAGAGTTCATGGAACAATCAATGCAAAAAACCAGAACCTATGGGATCATATGGATCCATTGGCATGAGCCATGCCAATTACCTGTGTCTTTTTTCATTCTTTCTGGTGCAATCTGTTGGTCCTCGTCAAAGGCGTTACAGCCATTCACCAAGTGGGAATACCATACAGAGAAGACATTAAAAACTTTATATTCTGACATTGCCTTGGGGAAGGCTCAAATCAGGAGACTGAAGATCACATTCAACATCTCTGGTGTTTTTGTCTCGTGACTCTGTTCCAATCAAATATGAATACAACAGAGAGAGATTTCTTGACTGCTGCGAGAATGCACTGACTGCCACAGCATTGCTGGGGCTAACGTGTTGAATGACGCCATGATGTAATTTTCATTAAGATGTTGACTGAGTGTCTGGACCGTACTATTTTGGAGCACAAGTAGGAACTCACGATTGAATGGTTCATACAAAAAAGATCCAGAAGTAGGAGAGTTAGTGAAAATGTACCACTACATTACATTTACACTAAAAAAAAACAACCCCTAAAATATAGATTATGCGTTGTCGAAGGCTTTCATGGCCAGAATCAGTGGGATGCTGTGCGTTTTCAACAAATATTATTGCCAAGTTTCCAACAAACCTCACAACCTCTGAGGAGGCCTGCCATAGATGTGGGCAAAACATCAGGAGAGAATGCTTCTGGAACATGGCCATACAGCCCAGAAAACTCATAGCAACCCAACATAGATTACGTTTCCTTTTTAAAAATCCATTTCCTTTTATTCTAACCTGCTGTTTAAAATGACATTACATTACATCATTTTCTTTCTTCTCTACAGTCTGTCTTACTGCTGATTTTCTTCCTCTTCTGTGTGCTTGCTCCACTCTTCCACGTTTTCCTGGTTTTCTGTGATTCCTTCAGTCTGCTCTAATTCTCCATGTTGCCATCTTCCTCGCTTCCTCCTGACTCTCTTGGCATCTTTCCATCCCCTCTCATTCTGCAATTTCCTTGCCTTGATATATTTCTACATTATGAGACAGGCCACTGCAGGATTCCTCTTCCTGCTTCACCTTCTCTCTCATTTCTCCCTGCCTGTTATGACTGCTATCATTCACAGTTGTTGCCCAGCATAGAATGAAAAACTCAAAGTGACCTGGGTCAGCAGTGTATAGGGGGCAGTGGGAAAGAAGAAAAAAATATGGCCAACAGAATGCCAGACAGGCCCTATATCCCAGGATCTGAGCCCAGGTTTTCAGTTTATCACAGATTATCTAGCAGTGTGGACTCATATAATCCAATTTAAAGCAGAAAACCTGGGATCAGATCTTGGGATATAGGGCCTGTCTGGAAGGGCCCTATGATTCTATATTGTTGTTAAAATTACCATTCACAGTTTCACATGTAAATACATCTCCATGTATAATTCAGATAAATGCAACTGCACTATGATCTCAGATACTGGAAAAAGGGTTAGGGACAGTGCTGCTTTGTTTCTCGGGAGCTTTATAGTTCTCTCCAGCTCTATTATTTTTCTCACCTGTATAGTGTAAAGACCTCATAGTATCCAATGTTCTCACAAACTGTTGACATTGGTGTGGCAACCTGACTGTCAGAAGAGTAAAACGGAGACAAACTACATCTGCAAAAATTAAGAGCTGGGTGGGCAAGAGAAGGCTTTGGCTCAGCATGCTGTTACATGGACATAGGCATGAAATAAATAGCAGAAGCTTGGTTTCAAGTCAACTTGGAAAAAGTTTACCTTCTTTTGAATCTACTGGTTTTGCTTCTGAGGCTTGTCAACTCTGTTGATGGGCCAGTCACCATGTGGTCAACTCTAACCCAACTTAGGCCCCTTCCGCACAGCTATACATACAGAATATATGACAGTGTGGACTCAGATAACTCAGTTCAAAGCGGATATTGTGGATTATTCTGCCTTAATCTGAGTTATAGGTCTGTGTGGAAGACATTGTACATGTATTCTATTTAGTGTCTAGTAGAATACATGTATAAGAAACTCTGTCTCTATTGATGGCGGAAAACAGAATTCGTCCTCCATTTTAGTTCATTTTAGTCTGATTCCTTCAATGTTGCAAATTATTTCTGGCATCTAATGCTTTTCCTTGGTTTTCACTAACTTAGGAGTTTGCAGTACCAAATTAGAGACCACATTTAGCACAGCCCCTCTTATAGAAAGGATAATTTTTACTCCAAGATATAATGTGAAATGATCAAGAGAAAAAAGGCGTATTAAACATTTAACTAAAGAGATAGCTGACACTGTTCTTTGCTGGCCTGTGCTATTTTGCATTTCCTCACTAGCAGCTGTAGTACAGCTGCCTCTCCTTCAAACTAAAACTGGCAGGTAATGTAATATTTTGGCTGTTTCCTACAATGTGCGTGCCATCTACTATCCCAATATAATTAAATGTTTTGTGGTTTCAGAAAATGAAATGATTATTCTATACTATTATGCGTTAGAACAAAAGACTACAGGTGGAAAGTAATGAACATCCCATCCCCCGCTTTTTAGATCAGCATCTGGATGTTTTCTTGAAAACTGTATAAAGCAACAAAAAAGAAGAAGAAGAAAAAGCCAAATACAACCTATATAATTTGGGGACATCATATTCTGCGTCTTCTGTGGAGTAAAAGACATGCAGTTGTTATTGATTCACAATAAAATAGGAAAATTGAGCCATATAACTGTCACTGTTCAATCACTGTAACTGACTAGAGCTTTGATTGTGCTCATTGCTCTCCAGCTAGAGATGGTGTGTTATATTTCTTAGATGTTATTTGTCCAATTCACTGGAATAATCATTTGGATTACCTCTGCGCAATCAAATAGAAGCCGTGCAAGTGCATTACCATGTTTTAAATTGGCTCTGACACATTTTAGTCAGTCTCTCCATGAAAATGTCTTGGAGAATTTATGTCTTCTTTCTTTATACATTTTCATTCTTAACACATGCAATGTTGCGTGTCCTGGCTTACTTCAAGAAACTATTGTACTTTTTTCTGTAATCTGTATTTTTCAAAGGCACAAAATTGATGATAATGGATAATACTGATATAGTCTTTATGTTGTGGTGAATAGCACAGTTAATAAATTGAACAACTTGTATTGTTGCTTCTGGTCTTTGCAAGTGGGGTTGTGAGAATGGCAGGAATGTAAACAACAGGGTTTGGAAATCCAGAGAAAGATAGTCATTTGTTCAGTCTGAATTGTATGTTTGCCCTCCATTAATATCATAACTATACCTCAGATGTACAGCAAGGAAACCAGAGCCAAGCAGAGAATAAGAGTTTTTTGTACATATACCTCTGAACCATGCCATATTCTCTGTGGCTGTTCCACTGGTGGCCACATATGGGTAAAATCTGGAAGCTTTTCAAGACTTTTGGGGTGCTTGGGCAGGATACTAAAAATCATATTTACTCAAATCTAATGCTCACCTTTTTTGGCTAAATCACCTCACCAAAATTAGGGTGCACATTAGACCTGCATATTATGGTAATCTTACTGCTGATCCAAAGCAAAAGGGAAAGCAGCTTCAGAAGCACCAGGAGCTCCTATTTGAGGCATATCTCTTCAAATTTAATTACCATGGCTCAATGCTATGCAATCCTAGAACATGTCATTTGGTGAGCTACCATTATTCTTTGGCAGAGAAAGCTCAAGACCTTATACAATGATATGATTTCATAACATTGAGCCAGAGAAGTAAATGTGGATTCCTTCTATGGCATAGATGCACCCAAGGTTTTCCTTTCTATTGTTGGAAGTTTTGTAGTAGTAGTAGTAATTTTATTGATTAGCCCTTAGGCCATATCACAATAAGAAGTTTTGGAAGTTTTGGTATTCTAACACTTTTGTTTTATAAAGAAGGAATTCTAAGCAAGCAGCAACTGTAATGGCCAAATTACAAAGAGTGCACTTTTTGCCGCTGCACATTACATTCACCAGCATTATTTATTTATTTTTTGGTTTCAGGGTTTTAAAAAATGAGATGCACATTATATTCAATTGCACATTAGACAAAATATGGGTATGCCATTGGGACACTATGCTAATAGAAAACTATATGTACATCCTAGCTGGCTTGGAGTATGGTAAAATATCCTTCTCTGAGTTTTTAAAATGGAGGCTGGATGGCTATCTGTCAGGTGTGTTTTGATTGTCTTTTCCTGCATGGTAGAATGGGGTTGGACTGAATAGCCCTTGTGATTCCTTCCTTCCAATTCTGCAATTCTATGGGAGGAGCTGCAGAGGAAGCAGCAACATCTGGTTTGTATGAAAGGAGTCTGGGTGCAACATTCCAAGAAAAAGTAACATTTTAGGTTGCTTTGAGTTTTCCAGGCTGTATGGCCATGTTCCAGAAGTATTTCCTGATGTTTCGTCCACATCTATGGCAGAGATTCTCAGAGGGCGAAACATCAGGAGAGAATGCTTTAGGAACATGGTCATACAGCCCAGAAAACTCACAGCAACACAGTGTTTCTGGCCATGAAAGCCTTCGACAACAGATTTAGCATCAAATTTCTTCCCAATTAAAAATGGCAGGGCTGATATGAAGAAATTGGGACAGGAACTCTGCAGCATATGGGAAAGGAAATTGATGAAGAAAGTTGAGGGTTATTGCCTTGAACTATGCTCCAAGCAGGGGTTTTTGGACAAACCTTTTCTTTATATTTCCCCCAGTTGTTATTTTACTCAAATGATCACTTCTACCAATAGAAAATGCAAAAGCAGGGACTTTCAGCATTTCCAAGACAAACTTTCCAGAGTAGTTTCCTTCGAAATATTGAAGCTCCAATTGCCACCTGGTGCGTATAGTATGCATCCAACCTCTGTGTGTCTCTTTTGATTAAAAACAGCCCAACACATTGTGAAATGATATCTGAAGGTTGCATGTTGAAAACTCCCTCACTAGACATAAAAACAAAACCATATGAGATTTTCAGTGACACTCCTGGGCCAGAATTCTTCCCTGACATCTAGTTTTCAGTCTGCACTGTGTGTGGTGTAGTCTTTTATTTGCATCTATTGGCACAGTCCAAAATCACATAATTATTTTTTTTTTAATCAAAAAGTTAATAAAGTCTACCAAGCATCCAGAATGATGCAGCCTGTGAGAATGTGTCACAACGATTACATCAGATGAAACCGAGAGTGTGGTTTAAACAAGACTGCAAGCTTTGGTTAGGGGGTTTATTGCTTCTCATGGGGGGCCATGGTTGGAGGCATGTCTAGCTGGAACACAAATCCCTGTTTGGTGGAGTCCCACAATGCCCTGGGCACGAGTGATGAAGCTGTAGCTACCTCTTAGTAGGCAATCATGAAGCACAGGTAGATGTTCAAGTTGTCTTCATCCATTACCATTGCTAAGACTTCTGGCTCTATGTCACGCATAAAAAAAAGAGCATGACACTCGCTGTGTTCAGAGAAATGGCCAAGTCCAGTATGATGTCCTTCACTGCTGCATTTCCCAGCGTTTCCTCGCTCTCGGCCATGTTGATCACCTCCATGCCTTCC